TTTTGAGAAAAGGGCCGCTGTGTTTGCAGACTGTCTGAGAAAAAACATTCCCCTTCGACTGGGTTTAATGCCAGGAGACTGGCATAACTGCCCTATTCAGCAGTGTGATAGCTGAGTTGAATAATAACAGAAACCGTACATGCGCTGCGTAACTTCACTAATGTAGCACTGCACATAACGTTCCATCAGAGTGGATGAAGTCACAGATGATGATTTATGAACAGGAATTGTATGGAAAGTCATGGTATTAGTAACTGGAAAGAAGAAAAAAGGACAAATGGGAACATGGCTTTTGTTGCTTGGCAAAGGTGGACTTGTGTGGAATTCAAATGCACTTTAGAGAAAAGTTGCTATAAATGCACAATCCGGGAAATCCGCCATGCTTTGAAAACAATGATTTGGGTCAGTATGTAATGATTTGAATAATGACAAGTTGGAAACAGTGCCGCATCTTTTGCCCTACCCAAATAGCTTCCATGAGATATAGGCATAAAGTTCACTTCACTGAGGTTTGCCTTATCTAATCAAATAAAAACCCCGTCTGGTCTGATCTGAGATCTCTTCTTTGGCTTTGTGACAAGGGGCGTACACTGCGATGTTACATTTTGCTGGGCATAGGAGGGGTCTTTTTGAACTTGTGGAAGTCGATGCCTCTCTCATGGGTGACTCGCATGACCTTGTCGTGGGCGTCCTCTTCAATCAGACTGATGAAGCCCTCGGCAACTAGGGACACCCTGCAGAAGGACATGTAAGAAAACACTAGGGTGTAGACTAACCCAAGGAGACGCCATTAATTGAACTTTAGTGGCATCACATTCATGCACTCTTAAACTTGAGCGAGTGTGCAGATTTAGCAAATCACCAAGTTCTAGCAGTCATGAGATATTTGACGAATACGGTGCCAACGTGGTGATGACTTTTAGTTCTGGTTGTCACCTTAGTCTACCGGGGTGGGGTAGCACTGTGGCTAGTGCATACAGTACCTGGTTACCTGACCAAAAGTGGCAGGTACTGATGCAATGCAAAAAATGGACTCCATGAGGGACATGCTTGCTGAAAAAAATGCATGCCCTTACGCCACAGAAGAATGACAACATGCACCTTTTTGTGTGAGGCTCAGACTGCATGTCAGGATAAAAAGACCATAATGCATTTGTAGTGATTTCATAAGACATCGACTTTCTGGATTTTCTACCTGAGAAGTTTGTAAATGTCATCATAACTTTTCCCAAAGTTTAACTTTTAAGAAGTACCAACCAAAGTACCAGTTTTGTAGTTAAGTACTTTGGGAGTACTGGGCTCTCTACTAAACGAGATGTAGGGGAAAAAGCTGAAGAATATTGTCACTGTTTGATAAAAATCAAGTCTTCATGACAAAAGTACTTGAAAAGTCCTCAGCCGAGTACATTTTTGAGTACCTTTGAGTGCTTTTCCTTATTAAATTTAGTTTCTACAAAAACTGGGGGGTGTCTAGAGGTTCAAGTTCATTTTGGTACCTCACCTTACGTTTGTGCATTTACTCTCAAATGCCCATTGTTCTCGAGTTTTGTCCAATCTAAACCAGTTGGAACTGACAATTTGATACTGGAAAAGTATTCAACTACAACACTGCTTACAACACAGGAAATTCAAATATGTTTACATATGACCAGTGCTTCATCAAGGATGGAAATGCTAACATAGAAAAGGGGGAAATTGTCTTTGACTTACGGCAGCAGTTTGGCAATGTCTGAAAGTCGTCTTACGGTGCTGGAGTTGATGAACTCAGGGGGTACTGTCTTGTGAATAATGGATGTGTCTGAGAATGACGGGCAGATGGTATTGATGCGAATGTCTTCTGCAGTGAATGCTGGATCAAACGACTGTCGGAAAGAAAAAAAAAAGGACTGTGCACATTTATTCATGTGGTTTAGTCGGTAAAAATTTCTTTCTTTTGGCCAACAGAAAAAAACTAGAATGGCAAAGCCGCCATGGCTTGCTGCTTGCTATGAATTTGAATTTTTTTCTTGTAATAACAGGAAAGAGACATCCAAGTTATACAAATATGGTTACTAAATCAAACAAATAAATACTAACCAAGCTTCATCAATTTTTTTTTAAAAGATTGGTTAACATACGACTGCAATACAGATAAACAAGCTTTTTTATCGACCTTAGCAATACAATTCATTGTACTCTACGAGAAAAAAACCTAGTTACCGGCAGTGCTGTGTGCAGACTGTGTGTAAAAGGTGCCTGTCATTTAAAAGTAAATCAACAAAGACCACCACCAAGGGAGATACAGGTACAAAGGCTTCACAATTCTTTACAAGAGAGAGGAATGCCTATAGAATGTGGGTCCAGCTAGTAGAGTCAGACTAGACCTGGATGATTATATATGCAGTGCATGCATTTGTGAGTTTGACGGATGGTGCATAATTAAAATTCCTCTAAAGAACTAGGTACATGTACAGATCTGCACTTTGTATCCAACCCTATCCCATCCATTTCCTTCTCACCCCCTCCCCATCATCCGATCCATTTCCTACTCCACCCCCTCCCATCATCCTACCAATCTCCTACTCCGCCCCCT